AAAAAAAAAAAAAAAAAAATGACCATGTTTTGCACTCGCCTCCACTGCACCCAATCCCATGGAGTCCAGGTACACTTTGACAGAGACCTGGCACCCACAGAAAAAGGATTTCGTTGTTAATAGACTTAGGGTCTTTCTGTTTCGGTTTCAGGGTTTGGGATTTAGGCTTCCGGGTTTGAGGTTTGAGGCTTCGAGTTCAGATTTAAAAGGTCTAGAGTTTAGGTTTAACCTGCCATGTCACATCGAGATCGAAAGTTGCGTTTGTGCTCTCACGAAGGTGACGGTACCACTTTCTCACTACTATCACCTCTGACTTGACTATGATGATGGCTGTCGCCACGTCTGCAGTCTGCGAGTCTTGTTTATGTATACGCCAGTATACGCTATGTGTACTTGTGTTGGTCCATCGTCACTCCTGTGGTTTAGCATGCGTTCTCGGTATCTTCCCGAATGCGCAGCAGGAGCAGGGCTGTGCGGTGTGGCGGGGAACCCTAAACCTCAAACGCTTAGGGTTTAGGGTTTAGGGTTTAGGGTGGGTTTAGGGTTTAAAAACCCTAACTCCCAAACCCAAGCGCAAGCCCAAAGCGAAATTCAACTCCCAGGCGTGTCCGGCGTGTCCTGGCAGGAAGGGGAGCTTGCCGTGAAGGGCCTTGGGATGCAGAACCCAGGTAAACCCATAGAACCACCCTTATAAACTAGAGTTCTAATTCTAATCGGCCTGCATCACCCTGCCAAACCCCAACCCTGAGGAATCTACGCGTAAACGCCTGCTGAATCCATGCCAAAGACGTTATGGCCGCATGGAGCAAACCCGGAAACCCCATCAAAACCCATCAAAACCTACGAACCCCCATGGAAAAACAACCATAAGTCCTTGAAGCTCCGACTCCACCCCCCCCTCTACCAGATGCCCTGAACCCTAAACCCTACACCCCAACCCCACCCCCGGCTCCAATGTGCGAGGAAGACCATGGCTCCCTCGCTCAGCGACTCCTTCCCCTCCTTCAGGTCCTGCTTGTGGAGGTAGACCTCATGGCTTGTTGGAGAGTGAAGCCGTCTGCAAGGCTGTTACAAGACGTCTTTGCTTGTGCAGGCACCCGACCCCTTAACCGTTGCTGCTTCATGTGCTGCACCTCTGCCAGGATGTCCAAACTTGTGGCAGAAGCCCGAAAAACACCAATTGCCAATCCCTTACTCTAATCATATAATGACATGCAGCAAAACCCTGTTCTAGTTCTGAGGCTTCTATATTAATGTTCGCCTCGGCCCCGGCCGAAGCGGTCAGAGGTTCCTATTCGGATTGCGCAACTGCGGCCTAGCGCAATCCTTGTCTCGGAAATCCGTCTGTGGGCTTCCTAATAACAGGGGCCTTACAGCGGTTCGAGCACGGAGTTTGGGTACGCTAGTCATCATATGGGGCCTCTAACAAAAATACCGCTAGAAATTATCCCATCCCTGCTTCTATCCCAGTGAAACGACATCGATTGCCAGGTCCCAATCGGCCTAAACCCTAAACACTAAACCGCACATTTGGAACTCGACCACGACATGCATGATAAGAATCTAGGTGGTCGTCGGGTTAAGCCTTCTGGGCAAAAATATATAATATTTATAAATGATACTACCAGACTCATAGCCTATGCCAACATCGGCACTGAACCTTAAACCCTGGACTACACCTTGAACAAACTGAATACCCGAGCCGCAAGTCTCAGGGCCTCAATCCTTGAGGTGAACTTAACCAAGCCCTTAACCTTGCAACCCGCAGTCCCCGAAAACCCGCCCCCCAAACCTCTTATGGACAGACTTAACCCAAAACCCAAAACCCTAAACCCCACACCCTATCCCCTAAACTCTACAGCTTAAGCCTGCATGCTCAGCTTAAGCCTTCACACATTCAAGAGTGTCGGGAATGTAAACACATAACATTCTAGTCTTGCCTAAATGTAAATGGTAATTATGGTACATACTTACAGCCATTTACAGGTAAGTGCATATCTGTGTACAAGTATTCCTTCATAATTCTGTATTGACAGTACTGTTGATACTAATACATAGTTATATTCAAGGCCCTAAACCCAAGACGTCTGAGCCCGGATAGGAAAATGAACCCTCGAGTGCTCGTGTGTGGCCAAAATGGGTCGGGGGCACATTCTGGACCAAAACAGCGCCGTTCTTTTTAGCGTGCCTGCTCTATCCCGCTCTAAACCCTCTGGGACCTTGCCCCTGCCCTCCTGCGATCCGGAAAAATTGATCTGATTTTTGCTTACTACATTCTGCGTATAAACAATGCATTTTAATTAGGCCGGGTGCCCATGTCGAGGTCCTCCCCTTTCTTTGTGTGTTCCTGCTCTTAATCAAAAAATAGACCTTCGAGTGCTCCTGTGTGCCCAAAGGAGTCGGGGCCACATTCTGCAGCAAAACAACGCGGTTCCTTCTGTGTGCCTGCTTTAAATGCTCGATGATTTTGGGCACGCTTAAGGACTTTAGCTTGGTGTTCATGAGGGCTTATGTTCAGTATGTTACACTGCATTTAGCACCAATTAGGGCAAATTAGTGCTGCTTCCGGATCGTCTGTAGTGGCCTGTTCTCAAAAGACCTGGTGAAAGGGAGTTCCGACAGCATCTCCAGATATGCTTGCGTCAAGCTCGTGGCTAGACTAGAGAAGCCTGCACCTCGGACCTCCAGTCGTCCTTCTGCATCAACTTCTCAATGGCCGCTGCCTTATCTTTGTCCACCATGTTCGTGTCAGCAAGGAGGGTCTGGTCAAAATGCTTCTTGGAGAGCCATGCCTCGTAAAGCTTCGAATCTCCAACGATCAAGCTTGTTTTCGATGCACTCGCCGGAGCCATGTAGAATCTGTTTGTGGGTCCCCGGAGACGAAGCCCACGTACGGGCCGTATCACCCCCACCACCCACGCAGCCCTGAATCTGTTTTGGGGTCTTGAAATGCCACCATTACAAGTAAGCCGCTGCTGCATACCGGCAAGGCACGTCACAATGTCGTCGAGCTCCTTCAGTACGGCAGGGACTGCCAAAAAAGCCGCGGCGCTTGCAGTATCTCCACACGCAAGCGACTGCCGTCGCAACAGGAGGGAGTACCCTGCATCCGGCGCTGACTCAGCAGGTCAAGAGGGGAATATCATTTGGGAGGTCGGCACGGGCAGTGTGGAGAAATGTCTTCATTAGGGGGCCTCGTCCTCTTGCAAGAACTGGTCCATGCTGTGGAGATACACAGCCGCATTGAACTGCTTCGACAAAGTCCAGATCTTGTAAGGCCACTTTGTGAAGACATGGAAGCGGATGCATATGTGGCTTTGTGTCATCCAGAGAGTCAGAACAACATCATCCAGATCGAGGCTTAGGTCCCTGCAGAAGTTGGCCAAGATGCTCTGCAAGTGGGAGCTTGTTGCCTGCTCCACTTTCTGTGATGCCAGCTGCTTTAGCGCTGGCTCCGGACCAGACTCCTTGCAGGCAATGGCAGTCGCGTGCTGCGTGAGCTGCAAAGAGACCGAGGCTCTCTTCAAGAGAGCCAGCATGCTTGGGTCTTCATGGAAAGTCTTGAACCTGGCTAGCCGCTTCTGGTTGTCCTCACGAGGGCACACAGCACCAGTGCTGAAGACCGCAGAAGGAACCCGCAAGAGACGCATCAACAGAAGTGTGCGCACGCATCCCGAAAACAAAAAGAAGCAGGAGGGAATGGGTCGCTGTTCTACACGCAGGAGCCGTCTGTGCAAGATGTCATTTGCCCTTGCGCACACTGCCTCTCTCGATGTGCCAGCATCGCACGCGTGCTGTGAGCGGGCTATCTCCGCGTTGTACAGCGAGATGACAAGATCGGGCAACACGGACGTACCGTAAAGCGTCTGCAAGCTCCTGACTGCTTCCATGCTCCGAGTCTCTGCTGGTCTCAACTGCTCGATGAGGAGCCGCAGCGAATGCCCAAATTCCTCTGCGTAGTTAACCATGAGATGCTTGAACAGCCTCGAGCAAGCTGCACATATCGATTTTGCTCCGGAGGATTTTGCAGCTGCTCGTTGCAGATGGCAACAACGACAGTCAAGCTTGCCTGATGAGCGCTGCAGCGCGGAAAAGAAGCAAGTTGTAGTCAACCTGAAGCCTTGCCCTTTGCAGATGGATGAGCCTCAATTTGACTGAACGTCCAGAGCGCTACACGCCCGTTCGAAGTGCCACAACAAGGTCTTTCAGAGGTCCGAAGATGGAAGCTGCAAACCTGCAATGGTTGTTGCATCTTTCCGCATCAAGGCCACAAGCTCTGTGTAGAAGGGCATGATGGCACCACCAACGACGATGTGGATGTCTTGGTTCTGGACCTTGCTGCTCCGGGAACGCGCAACATGATCCCCGGAGTGCACGGCCTGAATAACGGACCTCATGCGCATTAAAGCTTCGTCGTGCGCATGAACCGACACATGCTGCTCATCTCCGTTGGCTTCCTCCACCAAAGACTGCATGCTCCTGCAAACACCCTCCTTGTTGAAGTCCAGGATCATGGAACAAAATGCATCCTTGGCTTTGCGTATGCTGGATTCCCCGATGTGAGCCTGCTCAGCGGGAAATCAGAAAGAAATTCTGCCAGGGCAGCCACTGAAATATTGGGTCTCGCCAGGGCTGCTCGAATGTACCACACCACAGCTATCCGGAAGTGTTGTTTCTGCGGCAGAGTCTCTTGCAACTGCTGCTTCGCTGCCCGACGCTCCCTGTGCTGGTACGAGACCTGGTTTTGCAGTGAGCGTACTTACTTCTTCACGTGCTGGCCGCGCTGACCGAGCACTTCCCGGCGATTTCGCAATAGCTCCTCGAGCATCAACATCCAAACTCTCTATCAAGGCTTCTGTGGGGATCGATGTTGGCGGTAAGGAGGGAGGGATAGGAGACTGATCATTGCATGCTGTTTGAAAGCAGGTCGCTACTGACGAGCTAGGAAACCGGAGTGCTGTGCTCTCGATTGAATGGCACCTTCCCGCGCACCCGACAAAGGGCCTGCTGCTAAGGATGCTGACGCGACAATAATGAGAGTGGTATTCAGTGGGCGTAGTATTGGATGTCACCGTAATGGGAAAAATAACATGACGACGACGACGACGAACACGATAACGTCAAGCTGAGCTATCGCTGATGACACATGGCACAGAAGACGCTCCCCAAGTTATATGCGAACAAAGCACGGAACTACCACTGTTTTTGCTGACACAAAGCCCCCATGCAAACCAATCTAAAGGACTTGATTAAGCTTTTACAAAAGTTTTGGGTGGCTTCTTGGGGTGGGAGATTTAGAGCTCCACATTCGTGACGGAATTCTCTTGCTCTGAAAATATCGGACGTAATATCGGACGTACGTCGCGATGGCTCCGTTGCGCGAAAAAATTATACACCTACTTCGGATGTTTGGTCGACACACCCTAAACCCTACGCCCTAAGCCCTACACCCTAAACCCAAAGCCCAAAGCCCAAAGCCCGAAACCTTACACCCCTCAACCCTGAAACTTAGACGCTGCACTGGCCTTGCCCTCTCGCTTGGAGGCCTCGGCCAAGAACATTCGACTGGAACACCGGACTACGGCTCTAGGGGTTTAGGGTTTAAGGTTTGGGGTTTAGGGTTTGGGGTTTAGGGTCCAGGGTTTAGGGTTTAGGTTCTTTCTCAAGTTGAATTGCGCCCCTTGTCTGCTCTGCTCCTCTCGCTGCTCCATCCGATCTTCAAATAAATTCATATGGAAGCAACCTCTCCTTCACGCCCTAGAATTGGAGTTAAGGATGCAGGGACAAGTTTCATAAGGGCAAGAAGGGGGGTTGATGATTAGAACAGGGGTTCCTTTTGGGGTTGCTCTAAAGGTTCGACTAGAGCAACAAAAGTGAGGTTTAGGGTTTTGGGTTTAGGGTTTGGGTGGCGTTGTACTACCACTGAAATGGGAAACTTTAGATTGTGTTGAACATTATTCAGGCTTCTACATCACCCCGACCAGTTTATCGAATCCATGGCAACAGGCGCAGGGCTTACGATTCGGCTGTCGATTTGTGGTTAAGGGCTTGGGGATTTGAGTTCTGGGGCTTTGGATCTCGGATTGAAGGTTCATCATGTAGGATTTTGAATGTTAAGACTTGGCCCTTGGGTGTGGTATAACGGTGTGGGGTATGGGGATTTAGGGTTTGGGGTTTATGCTTGAATTCAAGTCTTTTGTTAAAGCCTTATTAAGCCCTTATTCAGGCCACATTAAATCATTGCTAGAGCCTCATTACAGCTGATTAAGCCCTTACTAAAGCCTTATTATACCTTGTTAAGCCCGTATTGAAGCCATACTCAGCGCTCTAAAGCCTTATTATACCTCATTAAGCCCGTATCAAGGCCATATTCAGCCCTTACTAAAGCCTTACTTATTACTTGTTATGCCTTATTAAGCCCGTATCAAGGCCATCTTAAGCCTTAGGACACAATATTGTTAAGCCCGTATTAGGGCCATATTCAGCCCTTAGTGCAGCCTTCGGGGGCACGGTTTATTTCTGGCCAAGCCTGTTTGGACGGAGCCACTCTTGGTTTAGGAGACCCCCAACACCCAGAATCCGACTGTCAAGTGCCGGTCCCTATCCCCCCTAAACCCCCTAAACCCTAAACCCTAAAACCCTAAGCCCTAAACCCTAAACCCCCAAACCCTAAACCCTGGAGCTTTAAAACAGCGAAAGAAGCGATCGGAATCCTGGCCCTAAGAGTCCGGGGTGGCCGACTGCAGGGTGCTCTAGCGGCTGAACCAACTTCACCTCGGGGTGCGGTTTAGGGTTTAGGGTTTATTGGTTGCTGAGTTCATAAGCACAAAACAAAAATAAGTGTACACCTTGAGCTCTCTAACGGGTCATACTATCAAAAAAGTTTAAAGTGTACCCATTCAACTACGAAGCGGGTTTAGGGTTTAGGATCTAAGGGTGTCTTCGCGTTTAGGTTTTCAGCGCTTGGGGCTTGGGAGTTAGTGTTTGAGGCTCCTCGCCTTAAGGGCTCTCTAGAGCTTTAAGGGATGTGCTTTCGGGGATAGGGTTTAGGCTTTCGATCTGAAAAGTCACACCAAACCCGAAGGCCCCATACCTATCGACCATAGGGTTTAGGGTTTAGTGTTTAGGGGTTTAGGGTTTAGGGCTTATTATTCTATACATCTTCTGCAAGTTCCATCCGGATAATACAGATGCCCCAGGGCATTTTTACTTCGGTTTTGAGGCATCTGGAATCAGTGATGCTAGAATGAAGCTATGAAAGCTAGCTCTAGGTTCGGCTTTTTGGTTTGGGCCTTAGTTTAGGGTATTCAGCGCTTAGCTTCGGGCATCCCCGAACCCTAAACATAGGGGTAGTTCTCTAAATTAGGGTTCCTTTCAATAGGCCCCCAACATAAATACGGCACCCTTGCTTAAAAAAAGGATCCTAAAAGGGACCCTGATTTAGAGAACTGCCCATATCCTAGGCCCTGACCTCTGGACTCTAAACCTTAGAGACGACCGGGCTTGGACCACAGCGGATCGGACTCCTCGGCCTTCTAACATACAGCTCTTTTTAAGGTTCTCCTTCTCTGTGCACTCTAAAGGGGTTCCATAAGTCTCTGGGGGGTTGGGGTTGAGGGTTTAAGGTTTAGGGTTTAGGGTTGAGGGTTGAGGGTCTAAGGTTTAGGGTTTAGGGTTTAGGGTTTAGGGTTTAGGGTTTAGGGTTCCGGGTCCCACGCCTGAGATTTGGTGGGGTTCCAGCACTTCCATGTCAGGGCCCTGGGCTCAAAACGCTAAACCCTAAGCCCCCAAACCCTGAATCCCTGAACCCCAAACCCTAAACCCCAAATCTTTAAGCGCTAAACCTTAAACCCCTAAACCCCTAAAACCCTAAACCCTTAACCCCTAAACCCCTAAACCCTAAACCCCTAAACCCATAAACCCCTAAAGCCCCTTAAAAAGAGTCGGGTGTGGCCAGGGCCCGGAGTGATTTCTTAACCACGTTAAAAACACGACATCTTAACTGCGCTCTGCTTTTTTCTAGCCGCGCGCAGGGTTTTCTCTCTAACCGCGCGCATCCAGCCACCGTAGAACCCTTATAGTACCTTTATAGTTACCCTTATAGGTTCCTATAAGGAATCGCAAAAAAGGGGCCCTGATGCACGTACAGTACTATA